CCGGTTCAAGTCCTGCCTGTTCCACCTGCGCATCGACTCCCTTCCCACCTGGGAAGATGGTGGCTGAGGGTCCAAGTACTTGGGCCTCTGGTTGGAGTTCTTGGTTCCTGGCTTCAGCCAGTCTCCGTTCCAGCTCTAACAACCTCCGGGGAATGAACCAGATGGGACAATCTCCCGTGCTCTCACTCTGTATCGCTCTGCCTTTCAAATAAATAAATCCAGGCAAAACAAAACAAAAGCCACTGACATAGTGTGTGCATTTCTGGACCACGCTAGCCTTCCAGGTACGGATGCATGAACCCACCTGCCAGGCAGGAGGTCGTCAGTCTCATTAGTTCTCTTTCTGAATAGGAACCTGAAGCACAGAAAAGGAAACAGTCAGCTGATGTCCAACAATTAATGTTTAAAAACAGATCTGCCACCAGAAGGAATAAATGGCAGACACCCATGTCAGGGGTGGCCCTTGAGTCCCATTCACTGAAAGGAGCCAGACACAAGACATCCCGTATCATAGGGTTCCACTCAGACAGTGGGTCTAGGAAAGACAAATCTACAGAGACAAAGAGTAGATTAGTGGTTGTCTGGGGCAGGGAATGGAAATGAGAATTGACTCTAAGTGGACGCAAGCGATCCGGAGAGATATGAGGTATTCTAAAAATGCCTTAGAGGGATGGGTGAGTTATACGATATACTACAAAATATTCCTCAAGAACACTGTAGAGCAAGGAAATGTAATTGAATTTGCAAATACATCTGTTGAGCAGTCAGGATGCATTATATAGGAATTTTTCCACTACTATTAACTCATTCATTGTTTCCCTCTGAAGTCATCTTTCTTGAGCAACTCTGTGGATCAGGTTACATGTCAGGGTAGGGCTGCATTGGAGGGCCAGGCATGGCTGGGTTAAGGTTGCTGTCCCAGTGCAGACCACGGACCAGCAGGTGTTGGTAGGAGAGGTGGAAATGTGGGTGAGTATGCCCAGGGCTGCCACAGGGTGCAATGATGCTGACCTTTGATCCAGACGGGCAGCTAGGGTTCTGGGAGAGCAGAGCTGTGCATGTGAGGTTGAGACGCCACCAGGTGAATGGAGGCAGGACAGTGGAGAGAATGAGGGTTAACCACTCAGCGATAGGTCCATGTCCAGGCAGGGTAGCCAGGTGGGCAAGAGGATACCCATTTTCCTGATGAGCAAATGCAGCTTTGGAGAGATAAAGTGACTTGCCAAGCTGCGTGGCTGGAGCAGGTGTGCGGGTACAAGTCAATATGCGGTCTCAGAAGCCAGCCTGCCCCATTCTCCCCTCTGTCGCCCTGAAGGTTGACATGCCATATTGTGACTCTGAGAACCACAAGAAGGTGCAGTAAAACAAACAAACAAACATAACGAGTCCCATCTTTGTTACACAGGTGGAAGCCGGCATCCCCCTGCAAGCCCTATTGTGTCCATGCCCTATCTGGTGAGGATCTACCATTAGCTCCCTTGGGCTCTTGTATGCTGGAACCAGCACGCATGTGGTCAGGACGGAGGGACAGACCACTGAATTCACTGGCTCAGGTAAAGCTGAGCAATGGACAGTACATGGGACCAGAATTTTTGAGTCCAAACTTTGGGTGACTTGGGACTAAACTCCTTTCTCTCTCTCTCTCTCTCTTTCTCTCTCTCTCTCTCTCTCTCTCTCTCTCTCTCCCTCCCTCTCCCTAGAATACATGCACTGGTCTTATTAGAGCCCAAGCCCTGGCTGATTTGCCAACCAGAACCTCTGGCCTCAGGACTCTACTGGAATCTAGGGTGACCAATGTGTTCTGGCTTTCTTGGGATTTTCCTGAGTTTTGGCAGTGAACATCCTGTATCAACAAGGCCCTCTCCATCCCTGGCAAGTCAAGCAGCGGGGCCACCTAGCTGGGAGTATGCAAAGAGCCAGGACACACAGCATCCCACAGCTGGTCCTTGATGGTCACGGGGCTGTGGGGGATCCACTCCTTTGTAGCTAGCATGTTCCCATGGCTCAGGTGAAGACTAACCCCAGTCCAGGACCTGCCTCCACCAATACCTTTGACTCTTTGGGTTGCCTTGGTTATCCCCTGCACCCCCCTCGGATGTCCTTCTGGCTGTTTTCAGGACCGGCCTCAGCCTGCAGTGTGGGACCGACACTGAGCAGCTGTCCATTTCCAATGAGCAGCTCTGTGGGCAGAATGGAGCTGTCCTGCAAGACACTGCAGAGAGCCATGCCCCAGGTCTTAAAAAAAATCTTTTTTTTAAAGATTTATTTATTTTTGTTTGAAAGGCAGAGTTTCAGAGACAGACACAGAGAGATAACATCCACTGTGGTTTACTCCCCAAATGACTGCAATGGCCAGAGCTAGACCGGTCTGAAGTCAAGGGCCAGGAGCTTCGTCAGTTCTCCCATGTGGATGCAGGGGCCCACGTACTTGGGCCATCTTCCGCTGCTTTCCCAGGCCACAAACAGGAAGCTGGATTTCAAGTGAAGCAGCTGAGACTTGAACTGGCACCCGTATGGATGCTGGCACCATAGTTAGCTTAACCTGCTATACCATGGCGTCAGCTCTGAGATGTGAATTCTGGCCCCTGGAATACATGATAAAGCCAGTGGCCTCCATCGCAAAATACTTTTTAGAAGCACATTAGGAATACACTGAAGACAATTTTACTAAAACACAATTATCAAAGGATTAAAGAACAAATGTGTGATGTAGTAATGTGTGTCCTTTATGAATAGATTAAATGGTATTTACTGGGGGTCTAATGGGACCTTGATTCCAGAGCTGTAACAGCTTGAATATTACGTTGCAATAGCTGTCATCACTTAGTATGATACGAAAATATCGGATTTATTTCTAAATATGGCTTTGTTTGTTTGAAAGGCGGAGTGACACAGAGAGGGTGACAGATGGAAAAAGAGGGCAAGAGAAGGATTTTTAATTCTGCGTCATTCCCCAAACGCCCGCACTAGCGGGGGCTGGGTCAGGCTGAATCCAGGTAGCCAGGAATGCCAGCTATGTGGGTGGCGGGGCCCCAGGTCTTTAAGCTCTCCTGGATGCATGTTAGCAGCAAGTTGGGGTGCCAGTGGAGGCAGGTCTTGAACCCAGGAGCACGCGAGGGTTGCAGGTGTTCCAAGTGGAGCAGTACAACACCTGTTCGGAAAAAACCGGAATTGCTGACAGTGAGAACATGACAAGGACTTCCAGAGGCTGCCTGTGTTCATCCTCCAAGGAGAGGCTCAACACCATTTCAGAAATAAAATTGAAACAGAGATCTAACTTTGGTCCATTTCAATGTCATGTCCAGTCCCATTGGGGGTCCACAGACCCTTGCCTCAAAACAAGAGGACTGGATTCATTGGCTTAAAGAAACAAGACCGAGGCCAGATTGGGGTGGATTAATCGGGGCAGAATCCAAGACAGGAGAGTTCAGGAGCTGGATCTTGTGGAAGATGGATCCACTCTGGCAGATGGCAAGAGGCTGGGGCTAAGGGAAGGAAAGATGGGGGCAGGGGGAGATTGTTATAGTCCTTGCATCAAGATCACAACAATGTCACATTCCAGTTGCCCAGAGCAAGCCTCTGTTTCCTTTGTCATCAAGGCTTTGTCCTGGAAGACAGGGTACACAAGACAGCAATCACAGAGTAATTCAAGCCGTATGGCTGGAAGAACCTGCACCATGCCACAGTGGTTCAAAGGTGCCCTCAGCTCCCCTCGGAGGTTCCTGGCCATCAACAGCAGAAGCGGACAAGAGGCCAAGGGTGTCTGCTACTGCTCAGAGCCCGGCTGCCTAAGCTCTCAGACACTCTGTAATATGGGGGACATACTGGCTGATGCTCGCCAATCGGTCCAGGAGACACCAGGAAGTGCCTCGCTTGGCCTTGACAGCGTGTGAATGAATGAAGGGATGCAGGCGTGCACCTGTGCAGACCCGCTCCGCTCCTCTGCTGCTCCCCGTGGCCGCTCTCGTTACTGCTGCAGGGTCTCGGGCCAGGGGCAGGGGTGGACCAGCGCGCTGGGCAGTGCCTGGGCCGGTGTCTGGACGGCCGTGGAGCCGTGGGCGACGTGCCGTGCCGGCGGAAGCGCCGCCTGGTCTCAGGAAGGTCCGCTCTGGGCCGCCCCAGGCTGGAGGGGGATGGGGAGCTGCTGCACCTGCGGGTGCCTGTGGCCCCCTCCCCACCTCCCAATCCTTCCAGAACACCATCTCCTGCCTCCGTGGGAATCTGGGTCGAGGAGGGGAGGTCCGGGAGGCGAGAGAGGACGCAGAAGCCAAGTCGCTTCTGCAGACCACGTGGAGGAAGGGGCGCCCTGACCGGGGCGAGGGGGGAGGAGAGCGGCTGCTTAGGCTCACGGCTCCTTTAAGAGGCCGGCCCGGCTCTGCGGCGGTTCCCGCAGAAGCCGGGTGCTGCTCTGCGGTCCGCGGCCCCGGGCTGAGAATCCGAGCCTGGCCGAGCCGCGAGACCCGGCGCAGGGGAGGGCGTGGCCTCGACGGGGAGCTGGGCGGGGCCGGAGCTGCCGCAGCCAGTCAGCGCGGCGCAGGGCGCGGCACCGCCCTCGGGGGCGGGGCCCTGGTACTCGGGGGCGGGGCCTCGGGAGCCGGGATCGCCGCAGAGGGAGGAGGGGTGGGCGTGGCCTGGCCGGGGGCGGGGCGTGGGACTGCAGTGGGCGGGGCCGCCGCAGAGGGGGCCGTGCCGGCCGAGGGTGTCCTGCGCGCGGCTGCCGCGGCCCGGCCACAGCGTCCCTGACAGCCCCCGGCGCGCCGGCTGCCGCGACCCTCTCCGTGCTCGCGCAGCCCGCTCGGCCTCCACCGCGACCCGGAGCCGCCGGCCCCCCTCTCCCTCTCTGGGGCGCCCACATCCGCCGCGAAGGCCGCATCTGGCGCGCATCTGGGGCCGCGCTGGAGCCCGCGCCCGCCCTGGCCCGGCCGCGCCGGGAACCCTGCCCGGAGCTGGAGCCGCACCTGGAGCCGCGGGCCCGGGGCCCTGAGCCGCGCAGCCGGCGCATGGTGAACTCGCTGCTCTTCGGGGAGATGGCCTTGGCCTTCGGCTGCCCGCCGGGTGGCGGAGGCGCTGGTGGCGGCGGCGGCGGCTGCCCCGGCGCGGGCGGCGGCGGCGGCGGAGCCGGGCCCGGGCCGTCTCCGGTGACGGCGGCGCTGCGGGACGACCTGGGCTCCAACATCCACCTCCTGAAGGGTCTCAACGTGCGCTTCCGCTGCTTCCTGGCCAAGGTGCACGAGCTGGAGCGGCGAAACCGGCTGTTGGAGAAGCAGCTGGAGCAGCAGCAGAGCGAGCGCGAGCGGCGGCTGCGCTACAAGACTTTCTCCCGGGAGCAGGCCGTGCAGACCGGGCCCGAGCTGCTGCGGCCGCCGGCGCCGGGGATCGGCGGCGCGGCGCCCGGCGCCAACGCCAACACCGCGGCCCTGGTGCTCGCCGGCGGCGGCTCGCATCCGCAGCACTACGGCCGCCTGCCCGGGACCATCTGGAGCTACACGCAGGTACGGCGCACGGGCGGCGGCGGCGTGGAGACGGTGCAGGGCCCCGGCGTGTCGTGGGTGCACCCTGACGGCGTAGGCGTGCAGATCGATACCATCACGCCCGAGATCCGCGCGCTCTACAACGTGCTGGCCAAGGTGAAACGCGAGCGCGACGAGTACAAGCGGAGGTGAGTGCCGCCCGCGCCGGTGCGCCCCGGGAACGGCCTCCGCGGAATGCGCGTGCGGGAAAGGGGCCCCGCGGCAGCTGTTGCCGGCAGGTGGGCCGGGTGGGCACTGGGACGGCTGTGCGCGACCCTGGGCCGGACGCCTCATTCCCTTGATGGCGTAGCGGTAACGCGGGGCCGGTGACAGACCCAGCCCCATCTTGTAGGAGGAAGGAATTGAGGTGCGTGCAAGTGGGCCCCAGAGACCTGCCTGAGGCGGCTGGGTTTAGGCGACTTGGTGAAACCAGAATCTGGCCACAGCCTTGTAATAACACCTACCTTCACTCCCTCTTCTCCCCGCTCTCTCAGTCTCATGGTTTCCTGAGCCCCCCACCGCACCCCTGTAGGCATGGGAAGATGGACGTTAAGTGGGCACAGACCATCATCTGGGGCTAGAGCTGGGGGGCAGATTGCCTGCAGGACTGGCTGGCATGTTCCCTGTGCAGCCCAGATTCCTCTGCCTGGAGACTGACGTTGCTTCCTGCCTGTGGCCTGGCTGGGAGTTGGGGGAGGGGGGCTTCTGATAAGAGGACGGGTCTGTCTGCTGCATCTCGGCCCTGAGTATGGGAGGGACCCTCTGGCCCCGGCGGTGGCCCTATGGTTCCCTCTGGTTCCAGGCACGGCGCATCCTAAGTTTGGAGCTGTTGGTTCGGAACCGAGAGCGTTGCCGTCTGCCCAGGGAACGTGGGTCTCCTTGCTCGTTCTTTCACGGGGCAGGCTGCATTGCGTCCCAGTGTGAGCTCTGTCACTTGCTGATGGGGTTGTGGAGCCCCTAAGCAGTCTGTTTGCCCATCCTAGAGATGGGGGTGATCAAATCCACTCATCATTGCTAGAGTGGGAGAGTAGGATTGAACTGAGTTCAATAAGACCTCCTTAAAGAGCTTATCTCCCAAATAGAGCCCCACTGGGAACGGACAGTTCTATGTGGAGATTTGGAAAGAAGTCGGGGCATGGCACGGCGGTGTTTGGGGCAGGGATCGAGTGATTTGCTGATGTCACTTTGTCAGGGAGTAGGGATTCGGAGACTGGCCGACTAGGGGGGTGACAAGCTTACCTCTGCTGGTGCACCTGCCCCTCCGGAGGCTTGAGTGGCCCAGAGTCTGACCATAGGGAGGCCACCGCACCTCTCTGTTGGCTAGCCCCATTGGGATGGGTGAGAGGAATGGCATTTGCTTTGGGTGATGAAACTCCAGAGCACGGGGCCGGGCCCTCCTCCCAGCCACTGTGGACCGTGTCGTCATGCTGCAGGCTTGTGCTGTGTTTATTTTATTGTGTGTGTGCTTGTTGGACCTGGCTACCGAGGACATGGAAAAACTGTGCCCGGTCTTCACAGGAGACAGGTTGGCCTTGTGCAATGATGTGCGTGTGCCGTACCCAGGGTGTGAGGGGTGATGTCAGCCAGTGCTGCTGAGGCGGGCGGGGGCAGGTGTGTTCCTGCCCGCCCTTCTGGGGTGCACACACACACACCTTTTCCTCCTCCGTTCTCTTTGTGTGTGTGTGTGCATTGAAGAGGCCCATCTTTTCCAAAGTTGATTCAGACAGGGCACATATTGAATGTCTAAAGTCCAGTCTATTCTCCCTGGTCCTCAGTTTCCCCATCCGCGAAAGGGAGCTCCTTGAAGCCCTAGGTTTCCTTGGAGATGCTACTGGACCCCTGGAATATTTAATCAAAGTTATTATTTTCAGCGGTCCTGAAAATGTGCCCCCTCTCACTTTTGAGTCCTTTGTGTGAGCTCACTGGGCCCGCTGCCCTGCTCACGTGCCGGTAGCTGGCCTCCCGTATAACCCCTCTCCCGCCTCCTTCAGGTGTCTGAAGTCAAACGGCTCCCAGCTGTAGCATAGATCAGGATCTTCTTCTTCCTTTTAATTTATTTATTTTTATTGCAAAGTCAGATTTACAAAGAGAAGGATAATCAGGGAAAGATCCTCCATCTGCTGGTTCGCTCCCCAAATGGCCACAACGACCAGAACTGAACCAATCCAAAGCCAGGAGCCAGGAGTTTCTTCCTGGTCTCCCATGCAGCTGCAGGATTCCAAGGCTTTGGGGGCCACCCTCTGTTGTTTTCCCAAGACACAAGCAGGGAGCTGGAAGGGAGGTGGAGCAGCCGGCATCCATAAGGGACCCCAATGCGTACAAGGCGAGGATTTCAACCACTGGGCTACCATGCCAGGCCTGGGTCAGGATCTTACTGCCCTGTAGCCAAATCTGAAGATACAGCTAACCAGGATGTGGTGCTGTCATCAGGAATTCCAGTTCTAAATGTTGTTGGGTCAAAGGGCCCCGTCAATCTGACTGCCTGGATTCAGAACAGGTGAATGTGATGCGTGGAGCCGACGCTCTACATTTACAGAAATCACAGTCATTGTCCATGTGTTTGTACACTTGGGTTTCTCATGAGAACGCTTTGTGGGGAGGAGAGTGGATAGAGAGCTTTCGGAAGTGTTCAGAAACTGCTGGTGAAGGTGTTGTGGCAGGTGAAGTGTCGGGGGCCTGCGTCCCATAGCTGAATGCCTGGTTGGATTTATGGCTGCTCCACTTTTGATTCAGCTTCCTGTTACGATTCCTGGTGGGAGCGGCTGGTGGCTACTTGAGTCCCTCCACGTCGGAGGGGGGCCTTGTCGGAGTTCTTGGCTGCTGGCTTCAGTCTGGTCCAAGCCTGACTCTGGGGAATAAGCAAATAGATAGAAGACCTCTCTCTCTTTCTCTCTTCATTACCCTGCCTCTCAAGTAAATAAATAAAATAAACCTTAAAACAGCGCCTAACTGTTTGTTTGCTCTCAGAGGATCTTCCCAGCCCAACAAGGTCTGGGTCTGAGTCTGAGCTCCCAGCCCACTTCTGACCCTCCCCTATAAGAAAAGTCAGGACCTGAGCGATGAGGCTAAGGATGCCTGGGCTCGTGGCCCCTGGACCCTCGCATGGTATCTAGTGTGGAACCCTGGGCAGCGGGCAATGGAGGGCGCCTGGCCAGGGAAAAAAGCTTGCAGAGTCTGCCCGAGTCCTAACTGGGCGTCCTGGCATCTCCCGGGAGGGGGCAAACTGGGCTCTTCAGCTGGACACTTTTCTACTTGTATAATGTGTACCCCTGCACTATTACTTCATGGAGCTAAAGCTTCTATATCATGAAAAGCCCTTGTCTTGGTGTATTGGTGATTTTTAGTCAGTTCAGAATCATGCAGCCATCACCACCATCCGGTTTTAGACACATGCCTCCCTCCCCCTCCCCACCCCACACACAGGTGCAGAAATCACTCCCTCTCCCTGACCGGTGCAGAAGACATTCCAAGCTCGTTTGCAAACAGTCCCCTCCCAGCGCAGCCCAGACCATCACAGATCTGGTCTCAGCCTCAGCAGGTGTGCCTTCCCTGGACATTTCTGGTCGGTGGGTCCCTATGACACGTGTCCTACGTGTCTGGCTGCTTTCACTTTGATGATGTTTTGGAGTTGGTGTGGTGGTGTGTGTCAGTAGGATGTCCCTTTTCAGCGCTGGGAAGTATCCCATCCTGTGCCTAGGCCCTGTGTCATTTATCCATTCACTTACATGGCCTCTCTATAGTTTAAAAGAGGGCATCACCAGGGCTGCCCGTCTACTATGGCCTCCTGTGCTGACAGTGGCTCAGTGGAAACTGAGCCAATGCAGAGCTCCTGGCTGCGTGTGCTGCGGCCCCGGCCCTGCTCGTCACAGCTTTCCTTTCACCCTCTGTTGAGCCCACTCTTTACCACGTGGCAAATGTGGTCACCAAAAACCGAATCAAGGCAAGGTTGTCGAGCGTTGATCTGGAAACCAAAATAAACATGTGGGTGGCACTGTCACCACCCAGTGCCACCGAAGCATCTTGTTCTGAGAGTGCAAGCTGTTGTTTGGGGGGGGGCGGTGCTCTTCCAGGGGAGATTCTTGCTGAATCCCTCTGAACCCAGTAGGTCTGGCTCTGCCACGAGGTGCTGTGTGGCCTCTGGCCATCCACTGCCTCTCTGGGCCTCAGTACTGTATCTTTACCTGAGGGGGTTTCTTGGGGAATTCCTCCCAGCGCCTCGCTCTGCCCCTCAGGCCCGAGTCTCCAAAGCACTTGGGTCCCAGCCCATCTCTCTGCCTCCGTTCTGTTCCTCTCCTGCTTCTGCCTGGGACCACAGAGGTCCAGGTCCGGACTGGGCAGGGCTGCTCTGCCTTCCTCAGGCACACCTGTTTCAGTAGTTTCCTGTCTCAGCCTTGGCCCTGAAGGAAGCAGGGACGTGTTGAGGTTGTCCAACATGAGGTCGCTGTAGCTTGGCGGCTGGGGGGAAGTGGCCATGGGCTGGTAGAGGAAGTTACCCAGTGCTGGCAGTGCTGGCAGTGCTGGTGGCTGCCCCGGGGCAGGGTGACGTCTTTAGGGCGTGGTGTTCGGGGTGCAGTGGAGTCCACAGCTCTCTGAGTCTCCTCAGGCCCAGGGTGCTGTGCAGCTGCTGGTGCCCCTGGTTAATTACCTGGCACCAGCACTGAGAGCAAGGTCGTCACCCACCCCCCTTTCTAAGGATTGATTTATTTGAAAGGCAGAGTGGCAGAGAGCTTCCTTGTGCTAGTTCACTCCCCAAATGGCCACAGCAGCCAGAGCTGCTCCAGGACAGAGCCAGGAGCTCCATCTCCATGGAGTCTCTTCTATGGGTACAGGGAACTGTTACCTTCCTAGGCACGTTAGCAAGGAGCTGAATCTGAAGCAGAGCAGCCAGGACTCAAACCAACACTCCAGTAGGGGATGCCAATATTGCAAAGCAGTGGCTTCACCCACTGTGCCACAATGGCGGTTCCCAGAGGGTCCTTTGAGAGTCTGGAGGGACCGCCATGATCAGCTAACCTAGTGGTTTCCTAAGTGAGTTTGCTGAGTCTTGGAGCCCGAGGCAGGCTGCCTGGGGGCCATTCGGGACAGCAGGAGGCTGAGCACCTGAGACTGGTCCCATGCCAATCCTGGCCCAGCCCCTCCACACCTGCTT